GTTCACTGAAAAAGAAATTTACAAACAAATTCTTCGTAACGACCTACAAGACATTCAGCATGCGAAGTACAGTTTTATACAAAGGGATTACCGAATTCCATTCAGCGTTTGAAGACCGTATCCAGTGTGATTTGACGCATTCTTTTAACAGACTGCATTCGCACAAAATCACCACAAACATGTAACGCAGTAATAGGACTACCTTCATTTCCTTCCTGCATGAAATAGCGGTGCAATGTTTCAATGCATTTCCTTGCATCCTGTTTTGTGACTGGCATCGACACGTTAGGGTTATCTTCATCACTTCCATGGTCTTCTGTTGCTGTCGTGTGTTTCGCTACTATTCGAGCAACAATAGCAGCATCGCATTCTTCATTTCCATCACAGAGTTGAAGTTCGTTGTCGATTGACAAAAATTCTTCGTAATTTTCAACTTGTTTCAGCTCCACATTCTCGCCCTCATTTTCATTTACAATCACCATATCCACATCCATCTCCGAGACAATATGCTTAAAGCCACAGTCAGAAAAACAGTTCCGAATTGTCGCACTGCTCATTTTTCGCCAACTTTCGGCCACGAATGTAACCGCTTGCAAAATGTTGACCTTTGCACTGATTTTTCCGGCCGTCGAGGATGAGGTCAGCAAGCCTTCCTCAATTGATTCAAGGATGTAATTCACCAACCTTGAACGATAAAACGTCTTCAAATTTTTTATGATGCCCATGTCCATTGCCTGTATCAAAGATGTGGTCTTGGGAGGCAGAAATTCCATCTGGATATTCTTCAAGAACTCCAAATTTGAATGTGCTGCAAAATTGTCGAGAAGTAATAACACTTTTGTCGACTGCCGTTGTAGCTCTGTGTCCCGATCTTTCACCCATTCTTTAAAAAGTGTAGAGCTCATCCATGCATTTCTGTTCGCACGATACACAACTGGTAAACTGTCCATTCTGAGTCTTTTAAAGCAGAGAGGCTTGGCACATTTTCCTATAACCAGCAACTTCCTCTTGTCTGTTCCGGACATGCTTGAGCAGCACAAGACAGATACGCGATCCATTGCTTTTTTACAGCCAGAGAGACTAACATGTTTGTAACTTAAGGAGCCGTCCGGTGTAGCCCTATAGTACAACCCGGTTTCATCAGCATTATAGATGTCATCTGCTGGAAATTTTTCAAGAAGCTCTGGTAGTTTTGTTGATTTTCATTCTTCAGCTCGAGCGCTATTGGCACTTTCTTTCTCACCATGTACTTTCTTAAATTTTACATCATGTCTAGATTTCCATCGAGACAACCAGCCGTCCGTAGCTAGAAAATCTTCGTGGCTCAGCATTTTAGCGAGTTCTTCTGCTTTGTACTTTAACATTGGGCCACTTACTCGCACGGCTCGTCCAGTAACAAAGGCAAACCAATCATTAAGGGCCTCATCGACGTCTGGATCCTTGCCTTCACGCTTCTGTTTTCGGGAAGTACCTCGTCGTCCTTCACATTGTGCCCATTCTACTCGCAGATCTTTCTTTTGTTTTATCAGGCGCGATATTGTAGATTTTGCCAAGCAGGTAATTTCCACCAATCGACGCTGACTAGTGGTTGGTCCCTGTTCCTTGATCTGATCTAGGAAACGAATTTTCTCAGCTAACGTCAAGTCCCGTCGTGGCATTTTCTTAACATGCAACAAGACACGCACAGTTCACTGAGGTGAACTCGAGTCTGTCTCCTGGGTATTTCTATGGTTGACCTAGCCACCTGCTGTCCTATGATTTGCCGGACCTGTGTGTCCGCGATCACTTGCCGTGCTCGAGAGTAGGCCCGCAATGCGGGCTCAGGGCATTCGGCTCAATGGACGTGCGGTACATCGATCGAGCGGTTAACGACATGTGAACAAGCATATATGTCTTCGCTCCGCCTACAAGTGTTGGAAACTACAGTCAGTTTCGGGCGGTTCTGAAGCCAATTATATAGATGTGCCTCAAGGCTGCCACAGTTCAGTTTATCCAAAGGCAAACGCGGATTACTGTAACTGAATGATCCGCTTTCCTTCCCGACATTTGAACTGTGGGTTTAGTCCAGACATCCAGGCACAGAACTTGATTTTAACAACTCTGTTACCTGCCACCTTTTATCGTCTGGTCCGATTAAGCGGAATTCCGGTCCTAATAAGCGGCTAAAATTAGGCTAGCGTAATAGGATTCGTTTCGGTTCTTCAGAATTTGGCCCGAATAAGCGGTTGGTCCTATTAACCGGTGGTCCTATTAACCGGAATCCACTGTATATATATATATATATATATATATATATATATATATATATATATATATATATATATATATATATATATATATATATATATAATCTGGAAACCATCTCCCGCTTCTGCTACCTAAGCAGTATGATGCCGACTGATCAGCTGCTACACTGTGAGCTGTGTATCCCCTGTCGAATGCAGCGGCGGCATTCGGGAAGCTTGAGTACCGAGTGTGGAACAACCATCAGCTTACCATTGGCACGAAGCTGATGGTGTACAAATCCATGGTGTTGTCCGTTCTTCTATACGGCAGTGAAACGTGGACGATGTACCGGCGGGATGTACAATATCTCGAGCCGTTCCATCAGCAGTGTTTGCGACGAATTTTGCGCATCGGTTAGGGCGACAGAGTTGCTGACACGGAAGTGTTGTGACAAAGTGGGATGTACACAGTGGACTGCATACTTTTGTTGAGACAACTGAAGTGGATCGGTCATGTGAGCCGTATGGATTCGAAGAGGATACTGAAACAACTCTTATATGGTCAGCTGAGTATTGGGAAGCGGTGTGTGGGGAAACTAAAGTTACGTTACCAGGACATGATCAAAGTGAGCCTGTCATGTTCTAATATTGATTGCAGGTCATGGGAATCGAAGGCGGTTGATCGGCGTGCATGGCGCGATCTACTCATGAAGGTAGTTGCCGAAGTGCGGGAGAAAGACCTCATACATGCAGAGAAGAAGCGGCAATTGCCGAAGTGGCAAGCACCGATGAGCTGTACTCCATCGACTTCCAGCGCATGGTGCTGTGGCACATGCGGTCACGAGTGCCTAGTGAGCCATGAGAGAGGCCACTCGGGACCACTACAGAAGCGACGACGGGTCCTGCAGAGAACGTAGGTAGAACCGGCGCAGCGTTTGTAGGCATGCTGCATTTGATTTACTAACCGCGTGCTTGCATGCTTAGTCAATTTCTTTCAGGTGGTGGGTTTTCAATTTTGTCCTAATGCTTTTCTTTCTCATCTAAATGTCTATCTGCATTCTCTTCTATAAACGTACACATGTCACTTAAGCCAATTGTAGTTAATTTCGAGAACATTTTCGTGTTTGTGGCATTTCCTTAATATATACTGGCCGACCTCGTGAACTAATCTCGGATTCTTTTGTAAACAACCTATTTCATATTCTCATCAATTTAAGATTTATGTCACCGTTCCCTCATGCATTACTCGATTTATTTTCTTTTTTATCTTTCTCTCAAGTGATAGGTTGTCGCTTGATATCCCCGGTGTGGCTGCGCTTGATGTGCATGTTGACAAGGTGCCTACCTGTCTATTACCCACTATCTCGTCCATACTGGCTCCAGGAGACAGTTGGTCGTTGCAGGAGGGGACGGGGTGCACGGCCCTTGTGGCCGTGTTAGGATCAAAGAGTGGTTCCATGCACTCAGTATGGAGGGGACTACGGTCCAGAAACCGCTTTGTGTGCATTTGATTCCCAAATATAGCACATCCGAAACCTGATGCCGCCACCCATATATATATATATATATATATATATATATATATATATATATATATATATATGCATAAAGCGTTGCCCTCTTTCAATAGTTACTTTGATATCCTGGGATAGTCCCATCAGTTAGATGGGGTGGGCCGCAGGGGCATTGGTTTGCGGTGTTGGGAGCGATCAACACAGAAGGACCAGTGAAAGTATAACACATAGCTGAACGTCACCCACAAATCAGCATTTTTTGCGTAGATGGACGATCAAATGTGATGCGTCCAATGGTAGAATCCATCCAGTTCATTTTATATTATCTGCTTAATTCATCCCTAAGCTTCGGTTCATTCACCTTGGATAATTAGTTACATCATGCCCTCTCTGGCACTTGGATATTATCTACACCCCCTGTTAGGCATCCAGGATGCAACCCCCGCACCTTTTGTAATTGCGTTGGACATGAGGCAAATGATGTTAAAGAGTGGAGAATACGCTACATAGGTGGCGACAGTGGTTAACTTTAGGGAGAAGTCATTCATGGATCACCTATTTATCCGCTCACAAATGATACATTTGGCTTGATTACGTGCTTCGCAGGTGCGAGCTTCGAGGAACTAATTCTACTCGGCGTGTAACTAACTACAAATGCAGAACCTGTTTGTTACTCTATGATGGGGTTCAAGATAAAATTAAAGGATAATGTGGAAACAGAACAACTCCGGTACACTCCCCTTGAAGTTTGAAACGCGTTCGACAAATTTGCCATAGACCCTCACGTGACGCGTGATATTCGAGTACAGGCTAAATATATTTTATGGAAACACTTTCCCGGGCAAGGAGGTCAACAGCACAGCGAGACTGACTGAGTAGAAGCTGCTTCACAGGTCGATGAGCAAAGTGAAATTTTAGACAATACTCTGACGTTTACTGCATATTGATAACATTTTACACTGTCCCATCTCCGCCGGAGACCTACCTGTTCCCTTATTCGGGACTCCGGTTCAGCAATAAAGTGGCGATGCGTGACTCCATCACCAACGACGTCAGACTGGTACATCCGTAGCTAACGCAAGCTGTGTCTGGCCTTGGTAAATATGATGTAAAATGAATTCGTTGCACTACGTTAAGGTCTATGTTCACCGTAATGTAAAAGATTGTTAGGACACTGTTGTTCATGACCGTCATGCATAGTTAAAATGTAGAATTAAGTGATAAATTTGGTCAGAAATGTACACGACTTGCTTTAACTTACCTGGCAGATCGCATGACGGTTCCGTCAGTTAACCTATTTGCTGTCTCACCAAGTCCGGTGGTGCGCCGACCCGGTGGAATATGAGGTAAATCCCTTGTGGGTAGAGAGGAGGGTTGCAATACTGATGACAACAAAGCATAACTCAAGACTATTAGACTACTGATGCATGGTAACTCTATGGTCACACAAAAGTTACTGTCGGTTAAGGCTGAAAGTGCCCACCACCACTTGCTCACGGGGAAATGATAAAACAGTAAGGTAGAAAAGCCATATCGAAAGTCGAGGTTGCCAACACTAACGTGAGCTCAAAACACACTTACACTATAAACTAGTTACTCTATTGATCAAACCTATTCAACACAGTCTTAGGGCTGCCGCTGGGGTGTTAGCTTCCAGATATTCGGATGTGGGGGGGGGGTTGTGCACTGGCTTGAACGAAACGGCAAGTTTATTATCGCCCGGTAACAGCATCTCAACCACAATTAAATGCATCTTGGCCTACCACTGATACTGAGGTTCGCGTTTACCTGTGGTCGCTGTCAGTTTGTCGGTAGACGATGGGCATGCGTAGTAGTATGGGTCGTTCTAGTATGCCACAATGGGCATCCGATAGCTACATCATGAGCACACCGTCACATAGTCAACCTTTCTAAGATTTCAAGATATGACATGAGTAAGCCAACCAACAAGGGTCGGTAACAAGCCTGGGTAAGTAATAAATTGTCAGTATAGCAGTGCAAGACCTTACGGGAGTTCATTTTCACCACTGGCCCCAATCCGGCAGGGAATGAAATTGAAAAAGCTTGCCGCGACACACTAGCGGAAACAGTTGGGCACATGAGTCCAAACCAGGACGAAATCAGTCTTGGGGTGTCAGTGTTGTAAGGAGCAACACAGAAACACCTCCATGAAGTCAAATGACTTCAGAAACAACAAAGGAATGCTATCTTGAAAACGCCGCACACAATAGATGACTGGCTTTACTTCGGCTGCTTAGCACCGGTTATCATTATACGTATCATTATACACATTAGCTGGAGGTCGAAGACACCCCAGCTACTGTGGCACACCAGTTATAGTATTTTATGCTCCCTCCCTTCACCTTGGTATTTTTCTTCGGTACCTACACCAAGTAATGAATGTGAGAATTCATGCACAGCTTGGGTGGCAGGGACGGGAATCACTGAGCATTTTGAGAGGAAGTAGTACTACTGGAGTTGTCTGATGTCAAAATAATCGCCTAGAACAGACAAGTAGGTACCCACTGTCCTACACTGGTGGAAAACGAACAATACGTACTAGTCCCGTTGAGTACTTCTGGGCGTACAATAATGATGCTGGAATCAAAGTAGCATAGTCAAAGCGGTACTACAGGCAAACAAGAATTTCCGCCGGTTCCTGAAAAGGCCTAGAGGGGGGGAATCTACCTCATCAATTGGTTTGTTGACAAAGTTACCATCAGGAGTTAAAGAGTCTCTAGGCTTCGACATCTACTGCAAGGTGCCTAAACGGACTCTAAGTAATATAAATCAATTCAAGAAAAGTCATGGCGGAACTGATCTGCCCCAGAAAGTAGTTTTCCAAACAACGTATTCGCAAGTGTACCAAGCACTAGGAAACAGAGAATAGCAAGTGACGTCGATTAGTCTGTGGACTGAAAGGGGAAACTTGTCGAACTTACCTCACACAAGCGAACTGGGAAGGTGTTTGAGAATCCGGTGGTTATTGCACAACAACAGACAAAATAAATGTCAATGCCAAATAAAGAAGTTTAAGATGCGTAGCAAAGTATTTATGTTCAAATGTAGAATGAATGCGATGGTGTCACTGGGGCAGCCGGCGTCTAATCGTTAGTGGCGGTAGCCATTTGGTAGAGACCAAGGTAGCTTGATCAGTAGAGTTGATGGAGAACGGCATGTCAAGCGGAGTTTGAGCGAGTTAATAACTGAAAGACAAATTGAACATACCAGTTCGTCAAAGTGACGTGGCGACACTACATCAGCGTGCGGCTAACAATTCCAACCGGGTAAGAAAATGACGAGGGGATGGCCTTGATGGTACAAGTTTCTTGACCATAAAAACTGCAGTCTATTGGACACAGAACCCGGTGGACAGGACACAGACATTATCGCTCTAGGCCAAAATGCTCTCTCTACGTATAGGCCCAGTTCAGGGTAGAAGAAGTTGTAAGAGGTAAGCATATCGGGACACGAGTGCTTTCTGAATGCCCTGAACACAGATCGCGGGATGAAACACATAAAAGAAGTGAACCAAGTCGGAACACAGTGAAAGTGGCTACTGGATGGTGGACACGGTGACACAAGACCATTTAGATAGTACTCCAACTAAAAACAGTATGGTCGTAAAACTTATTGCTCCAACCAGCGTGCTTCCAACACGGGCGACGCTGACTGAGGCAGAGGAATAAGAAGCGATAAAAGTAAGAGCCAATCATTAGTGGGCGTGGAAACGGTATTAGCTGGAATGCGACCCTCAGAAAACAACCATTGCGAACGACGTACGCTGGCTAAAGAAATGATATAGAAATGATGCGCTTAAACAAATGTCAAAAAAGATGATTATGTAGCGAAAGGATGTAACTAGAAATAAGCACAAAAAATTATGTCAAATAGACTTCCTCCTAACACTACCCTCTTCTTAAAATTTAGGTACTTGAAGAGTGTATGGCTCTTCCGTCGACGGTCCTCCTGGAAGGGCTGCACAAACATTATTGATTATTTTGGCCTGAGTCGGGCTTCGTTTTCTGAAAATCCCAAAGGCCAAACTTTGCGTCTGACAAAGGTGCTAGGGTTCTGATAGTCAAGTCAAGTCAAGCAATTGCTTCGTGCACGCTGCATGGGTGAATATTCAGCTACAACACACACGATCTCGACAACGTACCAGAAAAGCAAATCAGTGGCAATGCAATACGACAAATAACGGGTAGTTAAGGACAAAAACACCATGGTTAAATCAAGGATGACAGAGTTTTGGTCTCGTAAAAGACGCGAGAGGTAAGGAATAACTGACGAGCGGTAAGCTTGTGTGCGGGCGTAGCTTAGCTTGTACTTCTGGCTAGTAGATGAAGTTAACCATTCAGATAAGGCAGTACGTAGGGTATGATTTGTATCAGTCATTGTCATAGAAGCCATTTTTTACAAAAATCTGATGTGTGTAGAAATAAGAGTGTTGGTACAAGTAGGTATCGGAAAACCGCTATATCGGGCTAAGTGCTTCAATGATCTGACAAAACTTAAAATGCTTCCCCAAAAGACCGGGAAAGATCACAGGGGAACAGTACGTCCAGTGGGGAAGAACACAGGCAATGACAAAGTGATCGATCAACTCACCAGGAACGCAGGAGCCTCTGAGCTTAGAGGCATAGAATGACGGCCTACAGACTTGTGAAAGTTTCATTTAATTGAAGAGACCAAGATAGATCGTAACTCAACGTCACACCCAGATATTTTACTAATGTGGAAGACTGTAATCCGTGGCCATCAACATGTAACTTGTCGCACAGTGTAAGGAGCTTCTCGTACCTGGCTCCTTTGTGCAAAGAAAATAGAATGGCATGGCACTTTGAAGAAGTAAGAGACAGATCACGAGATTCGGACCAGCCATTAAGATCGTGCAGAAGCGCTTGTAGTCTGAATGAATAATCAGCGTTTTGGTGATTGATGCCCAGGACGATATCATCCGCAAGACGGCTGATGGCGCAACAAGAACGTCTATGGAAGCTGCAAACGCGCTGCAGATGCAATACGCCCCCACGTTTCAAAGGGTCTTGCCACCAAGCGATCTACCAAGCTTTGTATTCTGCTCACCAGGACTAACCCACATCAATTTTACCGCAGAGGCTGTATTGCAAAAGCTGATTTCTCTACGCAAACACAGCTCGCCGGGTGTCGACGCCATTCGTCCTGAGGCATTGGGAGCAGCAGCAAACCAACTGGCAGGACATCTAGCTCAGTTTTTTTCAGCACTGCTTAGACCAGAACCAAGTTCCCGCCATGTGGAAGCTTGGAATAATAAGCCCGATTCACAAAGGTGGAAGCAGAACTGATCCTTCCAACTACCGCCCAGTAACCCTTCTTCCTATACTCTCCAAGGTCATGGAATCCATAGTTGCCGATGCACTGGTGTGCTATCTGGAGAACTGCAACCTCATCACTCCTGAACAGCACGGTTTCCGTCGACAGCGGTCATGTACAACTAATTTACTAATTGCACGCAGTAGTTGGACCGAGGCAGCCGACGCTGGAGAAGGTGTTGATGTGATCTACCTGGATTTTTCCAAGGCTTTCGATCGCCTAGACCATCGGATACTACTATCCAAGCTGCAGCATTACGGGATCGGCGACCCTCTTTTAAGCTGGATCGCCAACTTTCTATTTCAAAGGCAATTAGTGGTCAGAGTTCGGAGCTCTTTATCGGACCCCATACAAGTCGAGTGTGGTGTGCCGCAAGGCTCGGTTCTAGGTCCACGTTTGTTTTTGGTGTTCATTAATGACCTTGCACGAGAAATCGCTTCAAACTTCCTCATGTTTGCCGACGATATCAAGATCTGGCGCAGGATCCAGGCGAACGCCGACCAACATGTGCTCCAAAGTGACTTAGATACAGTGTATCAATGGTCGATCCAAAACTTATTGCATTTCAACGTCAGTAAATGCAAGGTGCTTTCCATCCGACATCAAAGCAGCTACTCATACCGACTCGGAACGGATGTACTGCAACAATCAACTCTCGAACGTGACTTGGGTGTCCTGGTTCAAGATGACTTGGGTTGCTCCAGGCAATCCGAAAAGGCCTCGAAGACCGGGAACCAACACGTTGGGCTGTTGAGGCGGGCGTTTGGACAAATAAACAGCTCCATATTTCGACAAGTGCTCAGTGCGTATGCTCGCCCCCATGTCGAATATGCAATTCAAGCCTGGCATCCATGGCTGAAACACGATCTTAATGCACTGGAGCAGCCACAACGCCGGGCATCTAAGAACGTCATTGGAATGCGCAATCTGTCCTACCAGGAGAGGCTGCGACGACTGGGATTGTTCAGTGGCAGCTATCGCAGGCTACGAGGCGACCTG